TGATTGTTTTGTCAGTTAATCTCCCTTCCAACGGAAAAGTAAACTGATTTTATGTTATAACATTAGAAAAAGGATTGCAAATTGCAACATTCTGATCCGAGGCATTGGTTAGCCTATCAAATAATTTGATATGCAAGAGTATGGAAGAGGCTTCACCAAAAGAAGACATCTTTTCCTTATTTCAACATTAAAGTCTATAGCTATTTTCATAATAATGTAATGTAAAATATGCCTTCTAAGAAAAATAGTCACCCTTTGAATCCTAACTGTATGCTGTAGTACTAATGCACATAATTTAAAACAAGGTTACAAGACGGCGGTAGGTTTGAGTCTTCCTTTTACAGGGAGTAAAACATAGGGCTTCTTCCTTTTACAGGCAAAAAACAGGTTCACATTTTACTATTTTTTAAGTCATGTTATGAGCCCAATTCGAATAATAGGAAGGTCAAAATGTGTACCTCCCAGCTGCCACCGGAAGCACACCTTTGGGGCCGAGTCAGAGCAACAGCAAGTGTAGGATTCCGAGAGCTGGTAGCAGCAGCAACCAATTTATCAGCATCTAACATCATCAATGTTGTACAAGGTGGGGGTGCCGACTCCCAGGCATACTCAGAAGCAGCATCATTTGCATTTTCTTCAAGGAATCAAACCTAAAAGCAGGAAAAAATATGTTGGCAAAAGTGTGGGGGAAAATAGAACACATGGGGTTGATGAAATCTAAAGATCCCAATTATTCAGCTTCAACATATAGCATCTTACTGATTGAGTAAAACACTTACTGCCGCTTGAACTAATCTCTCCAACGCGAGAGCTGACTTTGGAAATTTTACATCCACTGGCTCAGAAAAAATACCTCACCTAACTTTCATCAATCTATTACCAAGTACCAACCAAATGGTAGCAGCCTTAAGTCCAGCCTTTGTATCATCACTGCCAGGGGAAATGTTATCCTACATAAAGATGGAATCCAAGAGATCCAAAAATTTATGCCAGTCCTCTTCATAGGCCTGCTTACAAATCAAAAGTCACAAATACTCACAATTTATATTGCCCTTATATGCACAAATTTAGCAGGGGAGATATCCACCCTTTTTCTTCAAGAACTACTTGCGTACAATTTGTAAATCTAATTATTCATTTCTGAAAAAAGAGGTAATATAAAGTGAGAAATCAGTAATACAGTTCATATATCTAATCTAAAATTGAAAATCTAAACTAACATACTGAATAGAGAAAATAATTAATATTTTTTCACTAACTATGCTAACTGGCAAGCTAGTTTGTACAAAAACTACATCTACTGGCTCAGAAAAAATACCTCACCTAAACTTTCATGAATCTACTACCAACATTATGGTGGCAGTCGTAAGTCCGGCCTTTTTATCAGCACTTCATGATGAATTGCAACCTGAATTTGAATTGCATCCTCCACAACATGCATCGATGCACGCACCTATCATCCTTTCCC